AAATCTGGATTTCGAAATACAATCGCAAATATCTCGAGATGAGATGATTCAAAATCAATGAATGTTAGCTCATTGGATTCGTCTAGTCGCGAGGAAGCGAATGGTAGTTGTTTCATACGAATCGGTGCGATATTGACCGAGATCGTACATCTTTTGTTTTTTTTTATATAAAAATTATGTGATATGACGTAATTTCGACTATTTTGACTTTTCATTTCGACTTTGACCTCTAAAGTCAAAACATTTCGACTTTTTGGCTTTTCATTTCGACTTCATATATAGTCCCGATATATCGTTATATAGAGGTTTGACTGTATACATTAATTCTCTCAAGTAATTTATGTCATGATTGTAATACAATATCTTTCTTACTAACACCTAATCATTATAATTCTTGTATCAGCATCTTTCTTCTAAAATGATTTGATATTTTTCATTCTGTTATATTAACTTCAGATAATTTTGCAATTCTGATTCATAAAAGAATTTAATCTTTTATATCTGATATGGTTTTTTTTAAATCATATTCCTGATTGTAATGCTAATAATTAATTATTTTAAATAAGATATTAAATAATAATTATTATTAAATACTAACCAAATTCTTCATCAATTTCTTGTAATAAAAATTAATATCACAATTTTTTGGCCTTATTGCAAGATATCTTTTGTAATCATTAATGATTTTTGTTGAATTTGGCAATATTAAATAATCTGCTTTACCTTTATTGGATATAAACTCTTGTTGGTTTATTTTTGATTTATAAATAATAATATCATTTCTCTTTTTAAAACTAAAAGCATTTAATAAATGGTGTAATATTGTTTTTATATTATTTTCTAAATTTAAATTATAAAAAGATAAGGCAAAAAATATAGAAAAAAAAATTCACTTAATAAAGATCTTAAATTTGTTAAAACTATAGAAAATGAAAAAATTAAAAAAACTAAAATATCCTAAGAAAATAAACTTGAAAAAATAAGAAAGAAAAAGTTTATTGAATAGTTAGATATGAAATACTATTTGCTTCCTTAGTTATTTTAATTATTAAGATAATTAAGATTAAGAAAAAATAAAAGTTAATTATAATATCTAACTTTTTTATTTAGTATACAAATAGACAAATATTATAATAAAAATATTTTTATCTTTTATAATTTAAAGAAAATAGTATTGATTAGAAATAAGCATTAATTAACCTAATTAATTAATTAACTATTTTAGTTAATTAATTGAAGGTTTTGTATTGACTAATTAAATCAAAGAAATTTTTAGATAATTGAACAACTTTTTTTGTTATGATAATTACAAAAGGTTAAATTTGAATATGTAAATTTACCTTTTTAATATATAAAACCTAAAAATGCTTATTAGTTTCTTGCTCTTCTTACTCTTCTTGTTCCTTTTACTTTCAACTTATCAAATAGTTAGTTTATTAAAAAAACTTGATACTTTATATACATTTTGAAGTATAAAAAAGAAGGGAGTTATTTGGAATCATTAGACAATCTTTACATAAAATTCAGTCAAAAATAATGATATTAAACCAAGTTTACATTCTTCTGTAAATGCAATTATTGTTCTAGTTTTTAACAGAGCTCTTTCTTTAAGAATGTAAACTCATCTTAATAATGAGTGTTTAAATATATCAAGTAATACTAAATCTATTCTAATACAAAATATTATACCTCCTATCACTTTAACTCATACAAATACACCTTTTTGTGTAACAAATAAACCTAAAAACAAATTAAGTTATATAATTTTATTGATAGTATAAAAGAAGAAGAATAAGAGCCTCTTGAATTTTTACTAGCATAGGCATTATATTTAGCTAAAATGTTATTTATTTTTTATTGAGAATTCATTTGTTATTCAATTTTTTAATATCTTAGATCATCTTTTAAGCTTTCAAATAGGAGAAAAATTGTCAATGAATTATTAAATGAAGTTTATGAGGATGTAAAAATCCAAGCAGTTAAACAAATCTCTAAAACAACAACTCTTTGTATGCTTTCTGATAGCTGGTTTAATATTAATAAAAAATCAATACATAATTTTATTATATATACTTCAAAACCTCATATGATAACCGTGAATATTCTTCTCACTTCTAGCCAATAGAAATAAGATTTCAATGACGTATACAGCGCAATATATACTACGGTATATATGATGCGGGTTCGGAAAAAAGAAACAATCTGTCGAAAGGCTCGGCAAGAATTTTACCGATACTGTACTGCGCATTTCAGGTGATTGATTTCACAGTGGTCTAATTTTTATGCCATCACCGAGCCGGCTCGATCCCCTGTATATCTAAACATACAACCTATATGATAAGAGGTGCCAGGCATCAGATCCCTCCCTATATCGACCTACTATATTTTCTATATGATTCGTCTCACATGATGAAGATTTTGTCTTGCAATTATATACATCTTCAGATCTGTCATTACTACGTCTATAAGATATTCCAGGGTAAAGCTTTAAGATTTTATTGCGGAAATATGCCTGGTCATGAATTGGACTATTGGGTTGAGGAATAAGCTGTTACCATAGCTTTGAGCGAATTGACTGGACTGATTTTAGAGGAATTATCTGAAGAATTAAGGCAAGATTTTTGGGGACAGATACTATGACAATATCACAAGAAACTTGTTTTCAAGCATTATTTTTGACGAAATATTTTTATTATCCAATGCATCTCACCCACAGGAAAATAACATAACTCACATGAATGTTTCCATATAAAATACTTTACAAAATAAGTAGAATCCAGATAGATGCTTATTGATTATTATTGCAATATACAATTATTTGAAAAATCAATATATCTTTCTATCACTAAATAATTCATTCAATCATTAAAGGATGACTTGTATATGTTTTAATTTTGAAAATAATTTGAGTTACTCTGAAAAGAACTTCAACTTTGACCTTGGATTGCTCATCGATTCTATTCAAAATATGACTCTTGTAAAATCATAATCAACAAGATTGATTATCTATTTAATGTCTTTTATAACATACCTTTTTGGAAGTCTCAAACTAAGGCTGAAGTCTTTCAGAAGATGATTAACAATAATTGTTCCCGGCATGATGAGAGTTTGAAACTTTGCTGTGATTAAAGATGGTACAGCAATTGATTTCAAATTTACAAAATGTTGCAACATAAGCTAAAATTAGTTGCAACATATATAGGTTAAAACTAATTGCAACGTAAGTTGCAACATTAAAAGTTGCAACATATTAATTACAGTTCTCATCTTTAGCTGTGATAGTAATTTTGTCGTAATCTAAAATATCAATCGTAAGACCCTCCTTTGATTGAAGGCCAGGGGTCTGAATGAATACATGTATAGTTCCGCTTTAACAGTAAACAGAAAAGATGAGTATATATTGACGCTAAACTAACAACATGCATACATCAAATTACACATACTTTTCAACATCATCACTTATAGCGAAGGGAATAATATCATCATTATATATTTCCTCTTCGGATTTTTCTTCAGGGGCTTTCTTGAGTTCTTCGTGATTTCGAATTTCAGGTTGTTTTCCTTGTTGTTCCTCGGTTTCAAACGCTTTTTCTACTGAAGTTGAAGCAGAATCAGGTTTAGGTTTTTTGCCTTCTCTTACCTAAAAATTGTAATGAAAAGATGAAAATAATATATTGGAATCTGAGAAGGTATCCACTAAAAGCCTACCTCCAAATAATTGACCTTCCGTTTTGTGCCGAAATAATATGAGGCGCTAATCCTAATTGCAATATTCTGGGGTCCGTCTATAGTGAAATCTTTATAACGACTAAAAAATGAACCTGCTTTAAGGGGAGTGCTGAAATGGATATGACCATAGCTATAAAAAAACAGAATATCAGCAATGGTCATATATTTCAATAGATATTTATCTAGAAAGCTTACGAATTATGGAATTTCTTGACAATGTGTACGAATGAAATTGTGATCGTGCTTTTTAACCATGTTTCAAGTTCTTTCTCGGTTATTCCTTATAAATCGCCACTACACATAACGGAGCGTTCCGGCTTTCCGCAACAATTATATTTCCTATATTCCGGTGGTGAAACTAAAAGAAAATGAAGTTAACACTTCTACAATTGGAAATGTACAATGATCCTCTCAGGAAGGCGAAGAGGAAGATTCACTTCAACACAAGGAGGGTATACTTCACTTTCCCAGTACGTAGGAAGGGTAGATGCAACCCGAAACGGGAGGTATGCGCATCTCGTAAAACGAGATGGTAATATGGTAACACTTCAAGCCTTCCTGCAAAGAAGAAGCGGTAACATCCCACGAAGGGTAGTAATGTCCTACGAAGAGAGAATACTTGGTTCCAAAAAATTTGAAAATACCTTGTGAGTCAGACATTTGGGTTGTGATCTAAAAAAATCAAGTTCTGAGAAAGTTTTGACTAAAATTAATATCTTATTACATTTTAATCTAAATGTAATAAAAATTAAATGCAAAATTCTCAGGACTTGATTTTCTTAGATCACAACCCATTTCGTAAGTTGTGTGCCGTCCTTTAGAAAAGAATTTTTTTTTTTTTGCAGAGATGAGAGAAATTTATGAAATTTATATAAACTTCTATCACGTGCTCAGATGAAATCAGGATGACTAAAATTTGATTTCATTGGTTGATCGACAAGGATTCTGATTGGCTGAATCGATTAGAAATGACGTGAATCCTAAAAGCTTTTGATAAAAAAAAAGACCTAAGTTTTATATATACTTTAGTCTTTAACAGTTATAAAATCAATATACTAACTTTGTGTAATAAGTAGGCATTTCTCAAGTACTTTCTAGTAAGATTTGGTAGAACTAAGAGATCTAATTGACTGTATAGATAACATAGCGAAGTTACACAAAATGTTATAAATTGAGGGTTTAGCTTTGTTCTTAGCGGTTGCTTGAGCAACCTTTTCTTCTTTGGTTTTGGTAGCTGGACATTTAAGACAAGAACTATGAATCATGCGTCTATCTGTAAGAATAGTAATATTTTTTTGTTACGGGTTTATAAAAATAAGTTCGTGACATTTCAGGCATAAAAGCATTATTCCGGCTAAATATCCCACACAGAAGTATCTATATCTGGCCAGGATTCTCTAAAAGCATTTAATGTAATACATATAATGTGATCAATTCTAGTGATGAATTTATTTTATCTCTTATGTTTAAGTAATAAAATTACACTATTCCAAGACAAATCATGTAATAGAGTGAAAAAAATTCACGCACTTTTGCAAAGAAATATTTTTATTAATACTGCAAAAAATAAATACATTGATCGGGACTTTACCCAGGATACATAACAAAGTTTCTATGCTAATCTAATCCTACTAATCCTACAATCTAACTAACCACCTGATATTTATATAACTTGGAAATTCGCCTTTCCTTCTTTACGAAATATCTGTAAAATACATCATTATTAATTGTAAGAAATTAAGATTGCAAGAAATAGAAATTTGCAAAAAATAATAGATTCTTACAGAATATATCTATTTAGCAATTGAGATAATTTGAGCTGTTTCTCCTCAAAAAGATTTCTTTTCTTTTTTGTATTCTCCCAACTTGTCTTTCTAAAGTCAATTAGATAGATATCACCATTATCATTAATTAAGACGTTTCTTCCCGAATGTCATTATGAAGGATACCATGCTTGTGGATCGCTTCTAATCCCTTAATAGCCCTTGACTTTTACTATTTCTTTATTTTTTACTCACTTAACAAAATGCCAACAATGGCAATACCTATAACGAAATTCATACCTCCTTCATAATATCTATAACAGACCAGTTTTGGGATATACTTGCCTTAAATATCGACTAGGTCTTTATAAATCTCAACTTCTTTTTACATTTTTTTCAGGATATACAATGGGGTCTTCGATAAGTCTACACTTTTCAAAGCAATCATTTAATCACGAAATTCACATAGGAGCATTTTACCACTTAATCCTTCATCTAGTATACTCTTAAACTTGAAGTCTGTGAAGCTATAATTTTGTTGGTTTACAGAGATGTTACTGGAAATACCAAAGGCAGAAGAAGATTGTTTATCCGCAAAGGAGCTGATAGCTTGATTATTTAATAAGGAGTTGGAAAATGATTTTGAATGAGATCGAAGATTATGTGAATTATTATTCCCTTAATCCAGTACTAGTACTTAAAGTTTAGAAGACTTGGGATTCTTTTTCACCCATTGAGTTGGATAAGCATATGCCTTGAGTACAGGTGGAGTTTCAGATTAAAGTGGAGGTTTTTGATATCCAGAGTTCTGTATGCTCTCAGCGTAGAAACCAGTGATTATCATAGGTGGAAAGAATACTATATCTAAGTTCGTTTTCTTCTATATAATTATAGATTTGTTGAATTACATCCTTGCCTTTACTCATCTGATAAAACTCAGAAAATGTCTGTTTATCTATATCTTCTAAAACATGCTTTTTTAGTCTTGATCACTAAAATCAATGAACCCACAAGATGATAGTTAAAATCTGGTATGCTGGGAGTGTCAGTAGATTTCCTTAAATATATGCAGTTTGGCCTTATAACTTTATTCAATATCTGACAAATATTGACTTTTATAGCATTACGAACATCCTTTTCATCAATCACATCATTAAATTTGTTATTAAATCTCAGCCTCTTAAATATCGGTTGCTGGTCGAAGCGAAATTGATTCACTTTATCAAAAAAGTACCCTCATAGAAGTACACTTATTTGTAGATTACCACTAGTCTTAGTAGTGATCTTCAAAGTAGCACAGTCTGGAGAGTTTGTTATAGGTGGTAGAATACACGACAACGTCTCTTCCAAGCTGAGAACTGAAATAAAAATGAGTTAAAATTACGAGGACAAATGATGAAAAATTAGCTGTTAAGGTGCTTTTCCCAGACTGTACCAGACACTTACGTGGTAATTTTATGATGATATGAATATGTTTTTTAGGAGGCGAAGTAGACCAGTAGTCTCCTATATCATTTATTGTCAACAGCTCATCACTGTCCTGGAGTATTAGATTTCTTAATTGATTGTCCTGATTATACATGAAGTCGAAATGAAAACCCAAAAGTCGAAATGTTTCGACTTTGGAGGTCAAAGTCGAAATG